GGTTAAAAAAAATCCATATGGTTCAGAACGGATTAACCTTATTTACATTGAGCCTTATGAGAAAATTTGATTTGGTTGGCAACCAATTCAGTTGGCGACCACGTTCGTAGGGGTCAGAACGGATTAACCTTATTTACATTGAACCTTATGAGAAAATTTGATTTGGTTGGCAACCAATTCAGTTGGCGACCACGTTCGTAGGGGTCAGAACGGATTAACCTTATTTACATTGAACCTTATGAGAAAATTTGATTTGGTTGGCAACCAATTCAGTTGGCGACCACGTTCGTAGGGGTCAGAACGGATTAACCTTATTTACATTGAACCTTATGAGAAAATTTGATTTGGTTGGCAACCAATTCAGTTGGCGACCACGTTCGTAGGGGTCAGAACGGATTAACCTTATTTACATTGAACCTTATGGGGAAATTTGATTCGGTTCGCGACCATTTCGGTTTGCGACCAGAATTGTGGAACAAATTAAGTTCGTGAACCGAGGTACCACTGTAACTATAAACATGTCATGGCATCTGAATATCTTTCCCAAGGCTTTCATTACTACCTACATTATTATACATACATACATACACACACACATACATACATACACATATGCATACATCTTATCTTACAACTTAGTACAACCAATACTGAGCTAGTTTGTCTGACTCATACAAAAATTACATACACTGCACAAAACCATGATTGCCAACAAACCATTATGGCCTGGTTCATACAGAATAAAGCATAAACAAATTTTTTACATCTCATGGACCATGCCTTCCATTTTGGGAAATGTTGATGTTTGCAGTAAATGGGGAATTTGCAGTAAGTGTGACCTACAGGGAAAGCCAGTCCATATACATGCTCTGAGTTTTGAGAAAGAGTTTTTCTTATGTTTTCTTTTTGCTTATCCTATTTTAGGGCATGTACTTCACTCTGTGTGAGCTTCTACCCACACAATACTGTAGTGGGAAATTGTACTATGAATTTTTGGACAATTATACTTGAAGGGGTTACAAAACAATTGAGTTTGGAGGCTGAATGTAGCTCTGGGGACTCAAATTGCCTTTTTTTTTTTACTGTAAATTATAATTGACACAAAATAATGGGTAACTTCACACCTCATGCTAAGCCAAACCAAAACACGTCATATGACGGCTTAGTGTGATGTGTCTAAGCAGTTCTTACACATTTAGTAAGGAGCACATTGTCATAGAGTAACACTCCATATACTTGAGAAAACACCCTCTATCTACAATGTATCTTTTGAGGTTGATTTTATTGCTAGAGTAACACGTTGCCTCACCTCACCTGAATGCATCATGAATAAATACATAATAGATTTGCTATAGGTAATTAAATAGAAAGAAAAGATAAGTTATTAAAAGAAAAATGCTATTGCATTTCTAGCAGGGAGAGCTACCCCTGCTAGAAGCTATTTTGGAGAGAATCCCAGGAAGACCCTTTGTATCTGCATTCCCTTTTCTACATTTCGTATCCCTACTTTCTTTCTTTCTTTGTTTCTATCATTGCCTGCTCTTACTTGTATCTCATTTGCATCTGCCAAAGAAAACATATATTGCAAACCAAAATCTATGAGCACCATGCAGAAAAGAGCATATTAACGTATTCTAATATTGCCAACATCTTTTTCAAAAAGATGAATGCAGCAAAACAAATTAGACAACAAAAGTTCAATGTACTTACATCAGTGTCAGGTCCCTTGTCTGCTCCAGGACAAGAAAAAGTAACGAATTCATGGCACCTCTTGTGAACCACAAAACAGCAAACTAGAAAGAGAAGAAGTATATTTAGATTACTGCAACTTTGTTAACAAGTCTACAGTCAGTTTATATGCATGGAATAAGCTTGATACAGTAATATATCCTGTGAAATTCTTTGATAAGCATTCAAATCATAGATCAATTCATTAACCAGTCTTTACCATCTCCCTTTCTACTCATGTAACTGTTTATAATACACTATTTCCTTATCCATATACCAAATGCTCATTCTGCTTAGGATTCCACAGAATTTTTACTTAGCTTCTTCTAACGCTTCAACAAAAAGGAGTATGAAACATGCTACTCAACTAATCAGCAGTCTTAGCCAAATTCCATAATCATGATACAATTAAGTAGAGTCCAAATGTATCCTCATGCTCATGGAACAGAGTTGGAAAAATGGAATTCTCCTCCTGTGTATTCTCTACAACATTCCCCCGAACTCCTCTGATGTGCGAAGGAGAGTTCAGGAGAAGAATCAGAAGTCCATATGGGGAACATTGGAATTCACCTCATACTTTTTACTTTTGGAATTTTAACTAGGCTATTGGCTGTTCATCATTTAAGGATTGACCTAATAGCATACATTGTTTTTATGTTCAAGGTCACTTTACAATTAAACATTACTATGGGACTTACTAAATCAAAGAAATATGTATTATAAGGAATACCATACTAAGTGTAGCTGAATGCTAGATCAACAACAAAACCTCTGGGGGGACGACTGACACATCCCTTTTACCAGTTGCCATCTATATATTTTTCACTTAAAAGCAGCCATGCATAAAATGGATATATTCAATCTTATTTCAGTATATATAAGCATGGGCTGAGGGTTTTTAAAAAAAAAAATTAAGATAAAATTTACCGCAGGACAATTTTTTGATTATAAGTGGAAAGCTAAGTTGAAGTTGATCGATACTTCACGATGAATATACTCTATGACTTGTTTTCTTTATTAATCTTGCTCATCCTTTGGTAAAATATTTCACCTTTATTTATCCCACAGGAATGTTGGGAAGCTTGCTTATATGCTTGTGTTTTACTACTCTCATGCAATAAAGCCATCTCAGAGATAAACAATTTGGCAATGGCCATGATGGAATTGCGCTCTCTCTCTCTCTCTCTCTCTCTCTCTCTCATTCACATTCCAGCCCTTAAACTCCAAGATTCCAGGAAACAGGAATTCTGAACTTGTTCACTGTGGAATGAAGTATACTCAGTGAGGAGATAAATGATTTCCCACCCTGTCCAGGTCTAATAATTTTCTTCATTATTTTGGAAAGGGAATTTCAACAACTATGCTCTCAGATTTTCTGGG